ATCTCTCCCTACCACTAGTTGCTCCATTTGAGGGACACTCACCCACACAGGGACGCTCGAAAAGGAGGGGGAGGGCTAAGGGGAGGTATTGGGGTTTAGCCTAAAAACAGACGGCACCTATCCATCACGGTGACATGACGTGCTTCCCTTCAACAGTTTGATAAGTGGAAAATGAGTGGTGGAAATGAAGCTTAAGTTGGTTTATGGAGCTTTTGGCCGCACATAATCGCTGGCCCCAGTCATTACCGCAATCAATCTCTGAGAAAACTTGTCAAATTATTAATGGGGCCCTTAAGTGATGCAACTCAAAGCCTGCCGTTGTACAGACATGGAGAGAACATGGGGGAGAATGTGTTTGCTGAGAAAACATGGAGGGGTTGCTCGCTAAACACGAAAGAGTTAAAGCAGGTTTCACTCTCTCTCCCCTCTCCCACTTTCTCTCTCTCTGCTGCTCTCCTCCCTCCCTCCATCTCACTCTTCCCCCACTCCCTCTCTCTGGCCCCAGGCTGTGGGTGAAAGGCGGTGATTGAGGCCTTTCATGCCAGGCTAACACTGCAGTCCACTGTGTGGCCCAGACGGAACATTGAGGCCAAAGTGGCCGCACCATGGTAGATGATTTGCCAGTGCCATTTAAAACAGGCAGCATACTCCAAACATCACCTGACACCAGCTGGACTTGTGGATTTTCCATCTATATTGAACACTTTAGTTTCACTACATTATATTTTGTTGAAATTGAGCATGGTACTGTTTAATCCCAAAGGAGGATTACAATAGCGATGCCCTGGTGCAGGGCCAACTTTGTTTCCATAAAGAGTTTGTGGTTAAGGTTAGATTGCAGTAGGAGTTAGGAAGAACTGATCCTCAATCCGTTGCTAAAGCAAAAACGACAAACTGCAATAACAGTGTTCCTTTTAAACCTCAGTGAAAGGAAGATGATATCCCTCAGCCTGTAACCCACCTTCCATCAATTTAGAGTTTTTTTTTTTTTAAACAAGATTCCTTTTAAAAGGCAGGTTTAGCACTCAGTTGTAAGTTGTGTTGAGGTGTGAGTCAACACAAGCAGTACCATAAATGGCTTTCCTGTGTATCTGTGAAATATGGGAGCCCATAAAATCGAGGAAGTCATACACTTTATTAGCTAAGTGCAAAATAGCATTTATTATGCAGAGGACAAATTGTCTTGGACGGTGTGCTTCAAGAGAAAGATGCCAAGATAGGCAGGTCAGGATGAAGCATCACTATATTGCCAAATAGGAAATATTATCAAATGCAGACAATGTGCCAGAGCTCTCAAATGGGTAAAACTTGAATAGCTCCATAACTATGCAATGTGCTCTTTGAAAGGGTAGTCTACAGGCCTTGGAAAACACTAAGGGGATGATGGTGGCCACCGTTTAGTAATCTAAAATACAGCAAGTTATAGTGGGGCTTACTTATCCAATCAAGGCACTCTTTAATGAGGTATCGAATGCACGTTAGATCAACATCTGTTTGTGTAAATATGTTTGAAAGGGATGATATTCTCTTTATGTGCCTACAATTCTTCAAACTCTACAGTCGGAAGCCTTGCCCTTTGGGGTGTGGCTAAAAGGGTCTGGTCTGTGAGTGGGACCAATACTACTCAACAGGTTGGCCAGGTGGCACCCTCCAAAGAATGTCAATATTTGCAGACGTTGAGCTGATATCTCGCTCTGCTGCTGGATGGATGGCTCAACAGACAGGAGGGAAATGATGTGAAAGACAAACAACAGAAAAGGAACAGTTACATTGGGGTTCCGGAATCGTCTCTTTGGTTGTTTCGTGAACCCGTCCTCAAGATGACCCACTGCGACTGACTGAAACAAGCTCATCATCAAAAGCACAGAAAACCAGCAATGTTTTTCTTGTGCGTAACAACTGTGCATAACGCTGTGTACTCTAGGGCTGGCGCGAGCAGAACTGTCTGTATCGTATGTCTCTCGCACGTCCTAATACAAATATTGTGTGGCAGTTGCCACGGCGACGGCTCAGCAACAGCTGGTTTGATTCACTTCATGTAGAACCTGTTCCTGATGGAGCTCTGCCAGAACAACTCCTCTATGTGGGGCTAGAAGTGCCACATAATATCAGTGTTTTTTTAACAAATATGTTTAACATGTATTCTATGTTTTATTAAGCAAGAAACCTATTGTATTTTTAATTTGTAGATGTTTCAGTTCATAATACAGGAATAGGTGCATATTTGCATATTATACTGTAGGCTTTATTCCTCTAAAATTGATTGATTTGACTATATTGACAATTCTTTAGAACAAATCATTGGATGCAGATTAGAATGTTTCCCATTTCAAGACAAATCTGTTGGGACCAAGTCCATGTCTGTCCTCACGTAGAATTTCTTTATGTGGTCCATATTCCTTTCCCTTGATGCAAACCAACACACCCCTCCAAAACTCATTGACAGGATGTATCCCTTGATCACATCTCAAGGAAGTAACGTAAAACACTCCAACGCCTCTACTTTCTTCTCCAGGTTCCCTATTGGGCTGAAGGAGTTAATGATACGGTTATCGTTAGGAATCTAGCAGGAATCTAGGAGGAGCCGAGCCAAGCACAACTGCTCATCGTCAGAGCAGATTAACCTTGTCAAAGTGGAGAGCGCTTGGGAAGTGAGCGTGAGCAACTCCCTGCCAGCTCCAATGCCACACCACCACTCCCCACAAAAGATCTGAGGCCTGGCTTCCCCTCTATGAGTGTTTATATTGGCTATGGTTATAATCTGCCATTAACGACTGGTCTAGGATCAGCCCTCCAATACCTCAATGAAACAACTAAAACAAATCAGCTGTTATGGGCGTAGTGTTTTGAATCAGTTATCTCTCTAACTCTTATCCGAACCTCAGCCATAACGTGCTTGTCCTTAACTCAGCATCCTCTCTCTTTTTCTCATCCAGATATAAGTTGTTGAATATTTATTCCTGTCCTGTCTAACCCTGGACCTGAAAACTGTGCCATGATACCTCAGGGGTATTGCTAATTTGGCATGCAGTGTCGGATAGGCTGGCTTTGAACTGGTTTCTGCAGCCAGGTGTAGAATTCCTCTATAGGTATAGAGATGACCATGGGGTCAGGCTGTGGTGGGTTTTCCAAAGCCCACAGATGTGTGAAATAACCTCAGAGTTCCTATGTAGGTTTAGACCTGGCTGGATTGCTATACATACACTCACCTAGACTAGAGACAAATATACTGTACATGCATGCACGTTCATACACACACAAACACACACATACGTACGAACGCACAGAGACATACAGTAAGTAAGTCCTTTGGATTTGATTGCAGTTGGAAATGTGCTTGATAATTACCACAAAAAGGGCAATTCTTTATGAGAATCACTTGACTTCAGTTAATTCAGTGAGAAGGAATATGTCTTGATCTCGTGCTAATTAGCTAAATGTGTACACAGTGAAACGCAACAGCCCAATTTGAAGTAATCAGTATGCATGCGAATTCTAGCATGCCTGTATGACTAAGAACCACAGCCCGTTTTGACTGAAGACAGGCAGGCATGCATTTAGGAAATCCTTCCAAAACCCTCCACACACATCGGAGAGCCCAAGGCTCTTCCATTTGTGGTTACCTTACTCTGATGTAAAGAGACGAGTGTACCTGCCAAACCAACAGGTGAGCCAAGCCACTCTTCCTTCCACACTGGCATGTTCCGTGCCCACTTGAAAGCTGTAGCAGCCTTGTGGTGCTGAGATGACATATCCCTTCGTTGTCAGCATGCTTATTGTGCGTGTGCTAATACGTGCATGCTATCACAGAGGCACATTCACAGAGGCAAACACACACACACTCACAAATCCTCACTCATGTATGCAGGCACAACCCTAGAAATCAGCAACATTGAATGTATGCAAACTCACTAGTACACATTATGCATCCATTCACACACACCGTTAATTTACACCTATACACACCGAATTTCCAAAGTCATCAGGAAGCACACACACAGCAACCCTACTACCGTCTACTATTTAGTTTAAACTCAGTTCCTCTCGCTCGCTCTACTGTCCCCTGGAGGGAGGTGTCATCTTTGAGTCAACTGATTCTAAGAGCTCAGCTTGATCACCCTTCAGAGTGAGGAGAGTCTGTTGACTTAAAGCCCCGGTAGCGTCCACATCGAGCCGGGAAGCGGGTAGCCTGGGGTGCCTGTAGAAGCAGTAGGAGCGGCAGGGCAGGCGCACGCTTAGTTTGGCCGTAAGTAGCTAGAGGCTAACGAGACCTCAGATAGGCTGTCGACAGCGATTGTCAGCACTGTTCCCTCTGGGCCGGTGCCTGACAGAGTTTACTTTGTGCCCTGGCCTCTCTTCCAAATCGGTCTAGTTAAAGGGTGGATGGAGGGAGGGAGGAGGTGGGGGAGTATTGAGGTTGTGAGAAGTAGGGCCTAAGCTATCCCGGCCTGGTAAATGGGAGAGAAGAAGTGCTGAATAAAAAGAGAACATTTGCCAACCGGAAGGGAGTTCTGTAAATGGGTCACTCATTAACAGTTTATAAAGAGGCTGGATTGGGGACAGCCAGAGAAAGAAAAAAGAAAACCCACATGCATTCAGTAGAGGCAGGCCTCTGTACGGCAAACAATGAGCTTTTCAGGAACAGGTTTATACTGTAATTTCAATTAAACATATTTGGTTGGACAAATGCCAGAGTGAGGAAAATGGACGCTATCTAACGAAACATACAGACAACCAAACTATAACCTCTGAGGGTTTAGAGAGAATCAATGTCATAGGCTGTGCCCCAATTCCTCTCAAAGTTCACTGTAGGAAGAGGTTGGAGGGAGGGAGCTTGTATCCTGTCCTCCAATGCGCTTTGAGAGGAATTGAGGAAACAAGGACGGCTAGTAGCATTTTCAGACACGGACCTAAATAAGAGAGGGTATTCAACCTCCTCCAGGGCTCCCAATAGCACGACAGGCCTATTCAACATCAAATGAATTCTAATATGGCAGTCACAGGGTGCAATTTGAACTTTAATGGCATTTTGCAAGACTTCGAGTTAAAGAATTAACAAGCACGCATTATCATCTCTGAGTACCAGAGATGTTCCAAGAATAATTTCTGACAAAAATTGTTTGATTGTTTTACAAACATATATATAGAATATTAATAATGTTGCTTTAGCTGAATATCTATTTTAACCAACTCGGCCAGACTAATCATGCATTTAAGTTATGTTTTTTGATATTGCTGATGAGGCTTCTGTGTAACAAAAACGACATGAGAAAGGCATCATTCAAGCATTAAAGAAACGCGACAATACTTTAAAATGTCACAGTTCAGGCTAATTGCAATAATCAATGAAAATGTAATTCTTGAAAATAAAAAAAAGTGCAAAAGGCAGATATCCTTTTTTGGGATAAATACAAATTCCAGTTCAAAACGAATTGACAAAGAGATCAGTCTACGCACTACGACAAATAAGCAATTCACAACTGATGGAGAAAGAGGTTCTTGAAAAGTGCAAATATCATAAATTGGCATAAGCTGGGATACAGTTCAATCATTTCAGGATAAAAATCATGAATTTCATCAAATAACATTTTTCTACCAAAGACAATTAAATATGGGGATTAAACTCAAAGGATAAAATACAAATTCTAATATTGATACTCCGATAGAGCTTTAAAAGTCATCATCCTCATAGAAGCAGACATCTAGTACAGGGAAGGACACAATTGCATAAGACCTCTTGGCTGCATACCTTTTTCTTCCATCTCCTTGTGTGTACTTTTCAAAAAAGGTCCACAACAGATAGACCCAGCTACTACACTGCACTATACTAGCCCCTGTTAAGGTGAATACAATGTACAACGACTTGGGATATTAAGCAGAATGGGACCAGAACAGGGGTTAGATCAAGAAGGCAATTGAAATCAAAAGAGCCAAACAAAGTCAGTGGAAATATCAAAATATTAAAACACAGGGTATATTTAGCTGGGTTAATCTGTACTGTACGGACTTTCTGAAAAGAGAGATGAGTCAGCTGTTTTGGCTTTTAATGAAAGACGTCAGACTTTCGCAGCGGTACTTCCTCACCTCTTTTCAAGGTGGGTTTTTTGTCCTGGTCATTCGAGAAGAGGGTCGCAAATCCTCAGGGAATTTCACATTAAGGAGGAATGTTTGGTGCGACCACCTAGAGCAAAGGAAGTGGGAAAAAATTATGAAAACGTTACTGCTGTAGAATTCGCAGACTACAGGGTAGCGGATTTAGAGAAAGACAAATTGGTAACAACAATATATAGTTTTATTTCTTAAGCAATAACTTAATTTATATGCATGTCAAGGTCTCTATGATAATATCTACTATACATATTAGTATGCTGTGACTGTGTATTAAGGTCTTAATTTACCTCTTAGTACAGGAAGAAGAAGCGTGTTCTGTGCGAGGCAGCCATGCTTTCAGACATGTTGCGCACTTTCAGGTAGTTCACGAATCCTCTGAAGAAAAGCAGGAGACCTGAGGAAGGGATTCCAAATCATTAGTAAAAAACACTTCACCACTATTCATCCAAGGTCCAGGATTCACATTACTGTGGGGAGATTAGTAGTACATTATTTCAGCCACCAGATGGCAGTGGTGAACAACATTCTAAGTGGATATATTAGTACAGTTTAATTCCTCAGCAATTGGCTAGTTGAAGAATGCAGCATTTGCTATACAGATCTGTAAACTTACCGAGGACCAGGAAAATCCACCAGAGCCAGTACTGCCCATTGAAGTATCCAGTAAAGTAGTCTGAGAACTGTGGGAAAGTGGAATTTACAGGAAATGGACATTCAACAACATTTCCTACCATCAGGACAATACTTTTGAATGACAATCAATTACTGTAAACACATACTGATTTTCACAATCACGATGGGAGAAATACTTGCTTGAGGTAGGATTAGGCCTCCTCAAACCTCAATTCCTAGAATGTTGGGTGTCCTAATTGAGACTATGGGCTGGTTTCCAGGACCAAAAATAAATAAACTACTAGCCTAGTTATTGCACAACATCTAGTGGAAGTAGCTGTGTGCACCAGACCAATGATGAAAGCCCGGGGTTAATAACTCTATGTCCCCCAGTATGTTGCTTCTTCATGTGGAAATTCTACAGGGCTTTGAATGATGCCCGGAGCACAGAGTGCACACTGTCCTCCTCCTCCTTACATCTAGGGCTAAAAAGCCTTAGCAAGCATCTGCTTCCTGCTGCACACGCCATGCCTGGGATATGCTGTGATATACTGGACATACTTGAAATTCATTTCGTAAACATTCAACTCATTAACATGCTATAGCCAAGTGAAGCATTTTACATGTTTTTTTTTGTTTTTTTTAAACATTTAGCAGACGCTCTTATCCAGAACGACTTATAAGAGCAATTAGGGTTAAGTGCCTTGCTCAAGGGAACATTGGCTGATTTTTCACCTAGTCGGCTCGGGAATTCGAACCAGCGACCTTTCGGTTACTGGCCCAACGCTCTTAACCGCTAGGCTACCTGGCGCAATTACGAGCACAGCATTCAGTCTGGTTTAAGCAGGATAATGCTAGCCAGCTTGTTAATTTACAGTAAACCATTTGTAACATTGATGTTTGAAGTAGAAACTCTTTGTATGGGCTGCTTTTAAAGTTGTGGACTGTATGTCCCATATTGAAATCAACTCTGTACGTTATTTTAGATGCATTGATTAGGCCCCTTTAACCCAATACTGCACTTACCCTGACGATGAGAATCCACTTGATGAGAGAGAGGCCAAAGCCGCAGATGGCCCCGTATCGGCCGGCGATGGTGTTGGTCAGGCAGAATGACAGGCAGAACCCAATCCAATTGAACAGGAAGGCCACTGTTTGGAGACAGAGGAAAGCATGTAGTTACAAGCACAGACCGACAGACAAACAGACACCTCTCTCAAGGTTGACTGACATTTCTGTTGAGGGAGTCACTGTTCAGTATATTACAAATTGGATGTCCTTCTATACATACTTAAAGACACATTCTGAGGCCATATGAATGCAGCCAGAGAACAGCTAAGCTGACTTCCTTTGACCTTTCCCACCATTCCTATTGGAGGAAGAGATCATGTTGTCTACAATGAGTGTGACTGTTGCCACCTTCTGGTGAATCCACAGAAAGCACCTTCAACTGCTTACTGACATTTTCATCCAAGCAAACCTTTGTTTGTTATGTTCCCCTGCTCAGACTGAAATGGGCCAGTCCGCTCAGTGAAAGAGGCTATTTGGGCTTGTCAACTCACTGAAGAACGGGGGGGGGGGGGTTTCGTGCACAAACAACATATCCACTCACTGAAAAAGGCCAGCATGAAAATGCCATCGTTCCCCACCCTCAGCTGGTCGACGTCGCTGAAGTCATCCCTTGGAGGGAAGTCATCCTCCTGTTTAAGAGAAAGAGGACAGGAAAACAACTCATCCATCTCTTCTTCAGAAACATCGCAATAGCTCAGTCATCCCAATGAATAAGGAGACAGGACGCAGGGTTGGGCGGTATAGTACAGTTGCCTGTCGACATTTCCTTCTCTTTTGGAGTTGTTGAGAAAGCAGAAAAAGTCCAATGGGCATTTGTACTAGACCTACATAAAATAGTAAATACTGTTGTAGCTATGACTTGGGAGAGTACAGCTATCAAAGTTGTTTTGGTCCTGAAATACGTTGTTACGCTGTGTAGTTAACAATAGCAGCATTGAGGTTTTTCTTACAGCATTCCAGCAGAATAATCCTGTTTCCATTGGTAAACATCCCATACTCAAACACGTGTATGTGTGTGTATGTTTGTGTATCCTACCCCTGGTATCACCTCCACAGCAGAGAGTACCATGGCTGCAGCTTTGGCTTTCTCTGCCTCATCGTAGGTGGGAAGAGAGGTGGCCACGCTGTAGGGGGGCGGCACGGGGAAATCACTCGGGTAACAACCGCTCTCTACCGGGGGACCACAGGGAAGAGAAATGACCAATTAGACTACAACAGGGCAAATTAACACAGTCCACAAGGTGAAGACGGAGTTCGGAAATCAATTAAATCAAATAAGGAAATCACATCGGCTGAATTCCAGGAGGCGTGTGAACTATCGGCCTATACTTAGGGCAACTGACTGGTTCCAGCGTGTTTGAAAGAGCTATAGACGCTGAGAGAGAATGAGATGGAGAAAGGGGCAGACAGGCAGAGAGTGAGACACAGAAAAAGGCTGAAGCAAAGACATTATTGCTAAACGGAAGAGTAGAATGAGGATAACAGATCCAAACAGACACTATATGGAGTCTTTGGTTCTGTACCAGGGATGGCAGCGGTGGCGCCCAGGGCGATGCTGGCATAGGGAGGCGGTGGGGCCTCTGCGTCCCCCTCCAGGGCTACTGGGATTGGGCAGGCCTGGGCCGAGGTGCACGGCTGCTGGGCGCTGGTGGAGGGCTCACAGGAGTCGTCTTCATCATTCTCAAACTGAGAGAGAAAGGGGGGGGGGGGGGGGGGGGGTAAAGAAGGAGTTAAATGTCACTTCAATAAAACCCACGTCACAAGTTCACAACACAGAATGTCAAAGGTGAGGAAGGAGAGGGAAACCCTGTAAACTGAGACGATTGGAGAGATATGGTCATGGCACGGATCATCCCTTAGAATGGTCCAACTCTGAAAGATCATCTGGTGTTTCGTAATAAACTACATAGGCAACATTTGATTCCAGCGCTAAGGGTACTGAAGACATCCAAAACAACATGTGATCTAGGCTAATTGCCAGCATAGCATCCAGTTGGAAGAAGACAACATGGTCATGGGAAACAGAAGGGTGACGGTAATGTTATAGAGGACACAGCACAGCCTTATATCTGGCCAATGACAGATGATGTAGCCTAAGCTGATGCATTACCTAGGCCTTGATCAGTGTGGCAGCAGTGCCAAATGTTGCTTTAGTCTTGCAGCTCACTTGAGGCAGTGGCTTTTGCATAGGTCAACAGACCAGGATTTAACTTGTGGCTTCGCTGTAGATGAAGTTTGGCATCATGTCCAGCAGCACTCTATGAACTGCGGGGTCAATGTGCAAAGCCAGGAGAATGAATGAGTGTGATGCTATCCGGTGTCAGGGACACCAGTTATGTAAGCTCTAAACAACTGCATAATTGGCCAGGGGTGAATTAGTTATTTCACCATCAGCACACCAAGGCCTAAACAAGAACTCCTTAGGTCATCTCAGAATAATACTCACAACAGGCCTATTTTCCTCTGATACGCCTAGTATATATATGTTGGCTACAAGTACAAATAGTTAGGTTAGGCCTACATGTCCCCTGTAGCTCAGTTGGTAGAGCATGGCGCTTGCAACGCCAGGGTTGTGGGTTCGTTTCCCACGGGGGGCCAGTATGAAAAATGTATGCACTCACTAACTGTAAGTCGCTCTGGATAAGAGCGTCTGCTAAATGACTAAAATGTAAAATGTAATGTTTAAAGACCTGTTCAGAATGAGCGTACACAAATAACAAGGATGGTTGGGGAGTTTACATTATAAAACAGCCTGTATGATGCATCTAAATACAGGTTAACCTCAAAACTGAAAACCTAACAAAGAGATGACACATTGAGGCAAAACCACAGTTGCCTAGCGACTGATGGAAGTGCAGAGGCAGGATCAAAATAGCATGGCTGTGGCTGAAAAAGCTCTGCACATCAAGATGCTAAAAAGGAGAGGCATACCATGGTATGTCTGATGTTAGCAAGCATTCCTGCATAGTCCAGCAGTGAGCATTTGGACTTTTAAGGCCAGTAGGCTAGGGTCTCCTGTAGCTCAGTTGGTAGAGCATGGCGCTTGCAACGCCAGGGTTGTGGGTTCGTTTCCCATGGGGGACCAGTATGAAAATGTATGCACTCACTAAATGTAAGTCGCTCTGGATAAGAGCGTCTGCTAAATGACTAAAATGTAATTATTCAAAGGCTTACCACAACTGCCTAACTCACTTGTCCCATATCAAACCAATCAGTCTATGGAAGTAATTATTGATAACCTAAATACACATGGCATGACACCGACTATGACTGTTAAAGTTTTCTGCTTTCGAGAGCCACGGGCCGATACAGGACTAAACCAGAAGTGACCCTAGCCTTGGATACACACACAGCATTCACATTGACAACTAGACAGCCAAGCAGTCGCGAACCTCCAGCAGCATAGCTAAAGCTTGTGCTCAAGGCCTAGTGTAGAAGAAACAGAGCGTCACAAGCGCAACCCAAACAACAAAAACTAATATTTACACACATGTAAGAGGCATTTTTCCCTTGGCACAAAAAGTGGATTCAATATCTTTCTGAATATTTCCTCGTTATCAGAGTTCCCCCTGCAACCGGAAAAAGGTGTTTGTAAGACACCGGTGCCTACCAAATCGAGAATTAAGGAAGTATCGCCGAGTAAAGGTAGGTTGAACAATGTTCCCCTATCCATTACCCATCCTACTCTAGAACCGCAGTGTTTCCTCTATATTCATTTAGAAGCAATGGGCCGCCACTGCTAAATGACGACCTCCACTCCAATTTGTTTATTTTTTATAATATATACTGAAGAAAAAGATCAAACACAACATACAACAATTTCATTGATTTTACTGAGTTACAGTTCACATGAAGAAATCAGTCATTTGAAATAAATTCATTAGGCCTTAATCTATGGATTCATACACGTGGTCTGCGGTTGGGAGGCCGGTTGGACGTACTGCCAAATTTTCTAAAACGACGGAGGCGGCTTTTGGTAAAGATATGAACATTCAATTCTCTGGCAACAGCTCTTGTGGATATTCCTGCAGTCAGCATGCCAATTGCACACTCCCTCAAAACTTGAGCCATCTGTGGCATTGTGTTGTGTGACAAAACTGCAGATTTTAGAGTGGCCTTTTATTGTCCCCAGCACAAGGTGCAGCATGTAATAATCATGCTGTTTAATCAGCTTCTTGATATGTCACACCTGTCAAGTGCATGGATTATCTTGGCAAAGGAGAAATGCTCACTAACAGGGATGTAAACAAATGTGTGCATATGGAAAATGTCTGGGATCTTTTATTTCAGCTCATGAAACCAACACTTTACATGGTGCGTTTATATTTGTGTTCAATATGTTTATATTTATTTGTTGTAAGTTGTATTTTTTATATTTATTTTTAGTAATTTGTATTTTTTAGTGAAAATAATTTTGGGGATGTTAAAACGTTTTCAGTGTAAACTTAAATGACTAAAACCAGAAATAAATGTATGTAGAAAACATAATGGAGCTATATATTTTTAAATAAGATCATCTTTGAGAACTAACAACCACCAAAATAAAACCTAGACAGGGGGAATAAAAATAAAATGTAATGGCATGTTATAATGTTTGAGTCCCTCAGATAGCACAAGAACACGGAATAAGCCATGGCAAAATGTGTAGAATTGCAGAAAATTAACTTTAAAACTGCATATTTTCTATCAGCCCCATGGCAAATTGTGTAGAATTGCAAGAAATTAGTTAAAAACAGCAACATTTTGTCTCTGCGGCCAAGAGAAGGGCCTCTAAAATGTTCAGTCCCAAACCCCACCTTTGGCCACGCCCCCCACGCTGAAATAAATCCGAACAGAAACACTGAATACTGTACAGAAGAGCTATCTGTCTAGAGCTAATAACTACCTAGCAAACTGGATTGCAGTGTTGAACAATAACCTAACCCTTGAGGCTGGGATAGCTAACCATCTTGTTTTTGTGACCATTTATGTAGCTAGGAATGGCATCTTCTTTGGGGAAACAAGTATATTGTTCTCATGGAAAGCCAATTCCTTTAACACTACAGAGATGTCATGGAACATTTTGTTTGTGGGCCCCTGTGACTCAGTTGGGCCACAAACTCTGTATGATGGGATTATTTATTATACACGTGTTACAGGCCTACTGTGTGGCTTTTTGGGGGGTCTAACTATACTTGAGCACGTATAGTTAGCCACAAATGGTTGCATATAATTGAAGTCTAGCCTGGGTTAGCTTACCTGACTCTGGCTGACATACAACTAACTAACGTTCGCTAGATAGCTAGCTAGCCAAATTAGTTATCCGTTCAAAAAACCAATACATGCTGAGTTAAGTGTTAAAGTGCTGTCATTTGGATGATTAACACTTAACTCAAATTTAATTGGAACTTGCTAGCTAACGTTTACCTAGATTAGCTAACTATTGTATTGTTGATCTGCTTCTGAATAATGCGGAAGTGACAGGCACGAGGAACATCAGTTTGATTACAAGCCGTCAATTTAAACATTTCTAGTCTAGTTTGACACCAAGTAATGTTATAAATAGGTTGTTTGTTTATATTAGTTGGAGTTCGCAAACAGATGGCAATGTCGATTGTTTTGGCTCACCACTTGGTATCGGCTTGCTGCCTGGTCCATCTTGACGTTAGACTCAGCTGGCGGAGCTAGCCAGCAAGCGAAATGTCGATAATCTTGTATTTAGCTATTTCGTAATTTAAGGTAACTTTTTAATGAACAGCATTCAGGATAAGTAGATTAAATATACACGCTGGGACGTACAAGAAACAGCCCATTTATGCTTCAACTGAAGCAAAACTCCTTCTGATGGGAAACGTCGAGTGAGTGGAAACACAGAGGGCTCTTTGACTTGTGACGCAATGCCTCCGAATTCCAAATCTACTCCTATCCACTACACGTCCTTCATCCCTGTAGATCTGAAAGATATTGGATAAATCTAAACAATAAGGTGAAAATATAAACTAGCGTCTTATTCTTAATACCTATCAAATCTCATAAGATTTGACGTTAGACAAGACAGTGTATAGGCTAGGAAATAGGTGCTAGTGGTCGAATTGGAATTGGGTATTCAACTCTACCGGAGACTACACAATATTTGACCACTAGGTGGTGCAAAAACTCAATAGTTATTCAGAGTAGACAGAGACGGACGGTCAGAAACCCACAGTACACACACTGTGTTCGCTATAATCCCACCGTAGATGTCGGCAAAATAGCCCCTTACCCATTTTTGGTTGTGGGACTTTGCACTTGGACAGGTAGGGCTACTTGGTAGTACTCTTGACTTATAGTCCATCAGGACATTGGATGGGCTGCTGTAACTGTAAACCAGGGTTCAATAGATTTTATTTTCGGAAATCTGTTCCAAAGTATTCCCCCATGGCCCCTCGACCATCCAGTCAAGAAAAGATCGTCCCGCGGCTGAATCTAGTTGATGATCCCTGCTGTAAGCGCTGGTAAGGAGAGACCTTGTTTGAAAACATTGGGGAGAACATTGGGGAGATTAGGAATTTATGAGGCCCTGATTTCAGAGAGAATACATTAGGCCCCTTTGGCTCCTACCACCATTGAGTGAGAGTTCCAAAACAAACCCAAAGGACTCAATCAACTTCTATTTTCTTTCCCTGTAAGTGCTTGTTAGTGAAATATGTGTTTGGCCATTAAAGGAGAAAGGAAGAGAGAGACGGAGGGAGAGCTTTTAATTGCTATTTCTGTCTTTAATTCGACTAAGATAGTTGTAAATTATATGCAATGCAGGATGTGCAAGACATGGTCTATATAGGCTCATGTGTTCTACAAACACAAGGGGAGAAACTGAGCAGTAGATTGTAGCTATTCAATCAGACCAAAAAGAGAAGAGAACATTTAGAAATAACACAACAAATATAAGAGCAACATTTCAAGTTTATATTAAATTTGGAACTGTTGGATAGTTGTCACATATTAAATGTCAATCAATAGCTTCATGACCGCAACAAGTGTGTGAGTTTGAGAGGAATAAATTACGTCTTACTTTTACTTGCAGTATTCATACATGACCACCAGGTGTCACCATAATCACACCAATTAGTAAAAGTGTCCTCGTCTGAAAATGTAGAACATTGACTACATGCAACAAGGGTGATCAACCCTGTCCCATGCAGCTATAGTGTGAGCAGGTTTTTATTCCAGGCCAGTTTTGTTTCACCTGATTATAAGAGAACTGTGTGCTTATAAATCATCTAAAGACAGAGAGGGGATTGGGGATCAGAACCCATGGGACCTTATAGGCACCTGAGACTAACTCACTCCGCTGGGAGTTTGGGACCATCTGAGGAGGGCACTCACACAAACATGCTGGGGCACAGATGCAAACATTCCACAGCTGAATACCTTCACTGATCAACATCTCTAGGATGCATTCACAGATGCCCTTTTATGTAAGAAATACAATATGGATGAGATGAGTCCACAAATATCCAGATACATGAATATAGTGAGACATTTCATAACCCATCATTCCAACAGAGTGCTCTGCCCAGAGGCCCTATGACCACTGGGTCACTGGCAGGTCGTCAGCAGAGCTGGGTCTGCTTGTCTAGACGGCTCCAAGTTCCACCCACATACGTTGCTTTTACAGTTTTATAGATATACCACTCTCACCCCTGATGCTACTGAATGCTGACTGCCTTACAACTGAGACCAGTGATGTCTGACCAAGTTTAGTGCTCATGGCAGCCATTTAGCCTTGGCTAACAAGCTGACTCAGCTGCTTGCATCATGCTGATCAGTGCAAATGGTGTAGTTAAACAGCTCTCCCCATTTGAAACAAATCAGGCGAGCTTACTGAAACCAGACTAGGGTTCAAATACTATTTGAGAGCAAACCCTGCCCATCTGGCAATCCAGACAGGCTAAACAAAACGTTACAAGGATTTTAAAGATTCAAAATAGTATTTGAACCCAGGTCTGATTGGAACACTGCAAGGACGTCATACTGCTGAGCAAAATCTTTGATATGCTTCATGTATTTGGTGTACTGGAACCAAAAGTGTAGAGTGTCATGATGCTATGTGAAATTCAAGAAGATTTATTTCATTTATCCTTGTAGGCATAGACAAGACACACTGGAACACCATGTATTCTTCTTCATCTCAGTGGGAGTCCTGCTTGAACAAAATGATTACACAAATATGCAAAATGCTACTGTACCTATGTTGTGAACATTTTACTGGGGTATTCCATGACATTCACATTTTTCACTTGTTTTAATGTGTTCAGGTGAGCCAGTGATCTGATTACTGTTTGTTTTCCCTAGGCTATTATTATTTTCATGTGTATCCATTACCAACTGGGTTCTTCAATCAGGGTTCTTTTTTTAGCTGTGCAGGTGGGACAGTGAGTGATGCTACCCTGCAATGAATCATGATAACCCATGCAGATAGAAATACTAGACTGGGCTGTATTGACTCATGCTTTACCTGCAGTTCTCTTCATAAGATGAACATTACACAGCCCATGGCAATATCTTCTTCAGATACCCTTCACATTGAGAGCCCGCATTCTACATTTGTACTTCAAACGAGAGCCACATTACACCCACAGAGCTAAACGCAGAGTCGGATCCAAACCGTCATAGTACTCCAGAGGCACCCAACGATCTCAGGTACTTACAAAGTCTACCCCAAAATGGTTTTCCATCCGAGTTGAGTCGGTAATGCTTCAGGCAAAAGAGATGGCAAGCCCTCGCTAACCAGCCCTCCTGTAAGGGCATGAAGAGGGAGGCTGTATATAAGCAGAAAGCAGTGAAATGAAATGTGTCTGTATGGCACTTTGCATGTTGCACTGAATACTAACAACTAGGTGTATCTTTTTCCATTAGGTGGTTTAAAGCTAGAATCCTTATTTGCTACATCCATTTTGGTCTTCTAAATTAATGATACAGTGCATTCGGAAAGTATTATGAACCCTTAACGTTTTCCACATTTTGTTATGTTACGGCCTTATTCTAAAATTGATTAAATTGTATTTTTTCTTCTCATCAATCAAAAAACAATACCCCATAATGACAAAGCAAAAACAGGTTTTTAGAAATGTTTGCAAATGTATAAAAAATAAAAAACAGAAATATCACATTTACATAAGTATTCAGACCCTTTACTAAGTACTTTGTTGAAGCACCTTTGGCAGCGATTAAAGCCTTGAGTCTTTTGGGGTTTGACGCTACAAGCTTGGCACACCTGTATTTGGTAAGTTTCTCCCATTCTTCTCTGCAGATCCTCTCAAGCTCTGTCAAGTTGGATGGCGTCGCTGCACAGCTATTTTCAGGTCTCTCCAGAGATGTTCGATCGGATTCAAGTCCGGGCTCTGGCTGGGCCACTCAAGGACATTCAGAGACTTGTCCCAAAGCCACTCCTGCATTGTCTTGGCTGTGTGCTTAGGGTTGTTGTCCCGTTGGAAGGTGAACCTTCGCCCCCAGTCTGAGGTCCTGAGTGCTCTGGAGCAGATTTTCGTCAAGGATCTCTCTGTACTTTGTTCCGTTCATCTTTCCCTCGATCCTGACTAGTCTCTGAGTCCCTGCCACTGAAAAACATCCCCACAGCATGATGCTGCCACCACCATGCTTCGCTGTAGGGATGGTGCCACTTTTCCTCCAGACGTGACGCTTGGCATTCAGGCCAAAGAGTTCAATCTTGGTTTTATCAGACCAGAGAATCTTGTTTCTCATCGTCTGAGGGTCCTTCAGGTGGCTTTTGGCAAACTCCAAGCGGGCTGTCATGTGCCTTTTACTGAGGAGTGGCTTCTGTCTGGCCACTCTACCATATAGCCTTGATTGGTGGAGTGCTGCAGAGATGGTTGTCCTTCTGGAAGATTCTCCCATCTCCACAGAGGAACTCTGGAGCTCTGTCAAAGTGACCATTGGGTTCTTGGTCACCTCCCTGACCAAGGCCCTTCTCCCCCGATTTCTCTGTTTGGCCGGGCGGCCAGCTCTAGGAAGAGTCTTGGTGGTTCCAAACTTCTTCCATTGAAAAATGATGGAGGCCAATGTGTTCTTGGAGATCTTCAATGCTGTGAGAAAAAAAATGGTACCCTTCCCCAGATCTGTGTCTCAACACAATCCTGTCTCAGAGCTCTATGGACAATTCCTTCGACCTCATGGCTTGGTCTTTGCTCTGACTTGCACTGTCAATTTTGGGACCTTATATAGACAGGTGTGCCTTTCCAAATTATGTCCAATCAATTGAATTTACCACAGGTGGACTCCAATTAAGTTGTAGAAACATCTCAAGGATGATCAATGGAAACAGGATGCACCTGAGCTCAATTTCGAGTCTCATAGCAAAGGGTCTGAATACTTATGTAAATAAGGTATTTCTGTTTTTTATTTTTAAGACATTTTTAAAAAAAAATCAAAAAACCTGTTTTCACTTTGTCATTAGGGGGTAGATTGATGATGGGAAAAAAAATATTTTATCAATTTTAGAATAAGGCTTTAACGTAACAAAATGTGGAAAAAGTGAAGGGTTCTGAATACTTTACGAATGCAGTGTATGTACCCATTGATTATTAAAGAATATAACTTAGAAATGCCTCATGAGCTTAGTTGTCACGCCCTGGCTCTGGGGACTATGTTATGTTGAGCCAGGGTGTGTAAGTCTATGTTTTGTATATCTATGTTGGCCTGAGTGACTCCCAATCAGAGGCAACGAGTGTCAGCTGGTTGTCTCTGATTGGGAGCCATATTTAACTATCGGTCTTTTCACTTTGTGTTGTGGTTTCTTGTTCCTTTTGGTTTGTGTGTATCGAAGGACTTCACGTTTCGTTCGTTGTTTTGATCGGGTGATCTGTGTAATAAATAATATGTACGCATTCAACGCTGCGCATTGGTCCTCCTCCTTAAGCGAACGTGACAGAAGAAACCA